AGTGAGCAGCACGCGAGCGTAGGTTTTGGTTTTCCGCAACGTAAAAAATCATGAACTGTGATATATAAATAGCTTGTGAGGCTAATGTTTGATTCTCAAGTATACTCGGCGGCGTCCACGACTCTTCTGACGGTCTCAGCTCAGAATCACCGCTGTAAACAAAACTCGGCTTCTCTCACAGAGAAACACGCCAAGCATGAGAGAATCCCAAAACATGGACTGGACTCCTGAACCAACCATGTCTGCTGCCAGCAAACCACTTGATCACAAATGTCAAGGTGACAGGAAAATACTTTTTTTTTTTTTAAGTTTATTCAATAAAATCTAAAAATACACTGTTATTTACAAATAGGCATAGCCTACACATAGGCTAAATATATGCCAATACCAGATCTGTCATAATAGCCTATATTTTGAAGAATAATTATGTTATTTTATTTGTATAGGCTAGTGGAATCGTCCTGATTTGAAATTGAAAGCTTTCTTAACAGAGATCTCCTGTCTTGCACACAGCAACAACTGTAAAAAGGATAGATAGATAGATAGATAGATAGATAGATAGATAGATAGATAGATAGATAGATAGATAGATAGATAGATAGATAGATAGATAGATAGATAGAGATGATGGATAGATGGATGGATGGATACACTGTAAAAAATATATGATCAATAAGTTATGACAATGCATGTTTTTGCATTGCTTTAACTCATCAAAATAAGTTAAGAAATTTTCAAAACAAGATTCAACTAATTTTTTTAAAGTCAGTTTAATGTAATTTAAGTTGAAATTACTTAAAAATCCAGTGTAGATGAATGAACCACCACAACAAGAATTACCACAAGAAACTTTTAAAAAACAGTAGTCATAATATTGGCTGTGTTTGCTATTTTTGAGGTAGGCCTATTAACGGCATCATGTTTATTTCTTGGAAAACTGATTAAATATTAAATCCATGTGGACTTAAGATGCGTTCCGGGTTTCTTCAACACCAGATTGAACATAGTGTAAGTAAAGCGAATATAATAACCAAACACTTCGGAATTATAGGCCTACTGATTTTTGATTAAAAGAGTTCATTTAGATTAACAATACCGACTATTTTCAGTACGCTACTCAGTCCTATTTAATTCCAATTAAATGAACAGAAGGTAAATTGCACTTCGTCTCTCTGTTACACTGAGCTGTTAAGGGGAATTGTTGTAGATTTTTAAATGAATGCATGGGTTTTTTATAATCTTCATATTTCAGCGACAGTGATAACGATTTGAAATCAATTCGCTATATTAAAAAAAGTCACCCAGCTCCACATTTTAGAAGTGCACATATTTTGCCAATGACATAGTCTTCTCAGCTAAATGTAAAATCCGACGTAGAACTTCATTCATAGAGACGGAACGGATTTACAATTACAATCCATTCATCCGTTCGTGATGAAGCAGTGTCATCTCTGTTCAACATTACTGTATACTAACTTTCTTATTAAAAGAGACCCAAGCCTAGATTCATATAGAATGCATTTAAAGTATAAAAAAATATTCAGGTGTCTAAACACACACACAAAAATATTTCAGACTGTTTTTGAGATTTTTTTTAAGGTGTGTGTGTGTGTAGCCTTGGAAATCGCCTTGACCTTGTGTCTTCTAATATGCAACTTTGTGTTTGGCGCCTCCATATGTCAAAATGCAGTATTTATCATGTCTCATTGGCCAATGGACCGATCCTCAGTATGTTCACAGATGGTTTCAGTTCCAGATCATTTGTACAACAGATCCTCAGCACAACCGAGAACATGTTTTGTTCTTTCTGACACTTTTTGACACTTCCTTTGAATTTATTTAGATATTGGTGAAAGATCCCAGACTGATTAATGAGCATGTATTGTGGAAGTAGACATGTAAAAGACTGAACATGCAGAAGAATAAGCAGACCCACCTACATTCCTTTCAAAGATCTTCTTTTTCAAAAACAAAAATGCATTTTTGCTCAAAACAAAGCTTAAACACGAGGATAGTGCCCCAGATTACCTCTCTCCTGGCAAAACAAAGTTAAGCCCTTGTAGCAGAGCAGAGCAGTCACCAAAAGCTAAACTGAATGAATTTGACCTCATGCAGTTTCACGTTCCATTCAAACCTTTCCTTTGGTTTCACCTTTCCTTTCCAACAAAGTGACAATAGTGATGACATTGTTTGTTTCTCATTTTGTCTAAGCCCAGACAGGAAAGGGAATTTAGAGGAGAGGGTGACAATTATGTTTGGGTGAACAGAAATAGATTCCTGAAAAACATAAAGCTGAAAATGAAGGGAGCGCCAAGGCATGTGAGAAAATAGCATATACCGCAGGAGGGGTGCAACAAGTTGTTTCCTCACGGAGCAGCTTGGTTTGATCACAATTATTATTGTTGTCACCCACAAAACCGGGAGCCAAACATTTTTATTGCCGATGAGCACTGACCATCAAGTATTCGCTTCCTCCTCTTTTGTAAATAATAGCTGAGACATTCCTTATGTCTGGGCTGTTTGGGTAAACATTTTGAGATGGGAAACTTCCCAGAGAATGTGTTTGCTGCAATATTCCCAGCAAATGGAAAACAAATCTGTCTTTTTTTGTACGATACATCATTCTGACCTTACTAAACAATATATCTCTGCAGGAAAAAGATCATTGTACACGTAGCAGTCTAAGACAACACGCAGTTCAGCTCTTCTTTTGGATGGCATGAACCTTGATTCATCAATTGGATTGTTGTGTTGCCGCTAAAAAGCTTAGCTGGGATTATCTATTAGCGGTTCCTCCTGAGCTTCAGATAATCAACCATGAATTTACTATGGTTAAATATCCAGCTTCACTGTAAAAATATATATATTTAATCAATAAGTTATGACAACACACGTTTTTACATTGCTTAATGAGTTAAGCAAATAATTTAAGTTGAAATGACTTACACATTTAAGTTGATTGTACTTACAAATTTAAGGCAGCAACTTTTTTTTACAGTTTTTTTCTTTAATAGCAACAGTTTCTGTTGCATCATAATTTAACGACTTTGATTAAATGTGTTTTAAATACACAACTTTATAATAAAAAAGAAACCCTAAACTTCATGTTGAGAATACATTTTTTTTTGCCATATTTATAATCATTTTTAAACTTAATGTTGAAATGCTAAGCTTAAAAAAATACATATTGAGTGACCATTCATTTCATATTTGTTGTTGACCATGTTTATTTTGCATGATAATCCAGTCTAGACGAGTGAGAATGTCTTTTTTTTTGTCAGTGTCATCTTTACAAAGTAGGCCAGGGTTCAGCATAGCCAAGGCCAATGTCATAATCCTCTTGTAATGTCTGTTCATGTGACACGGATTGAAGACACTCAAGGAATCCCACATGGGTTACAAAAACAGACTGATGACAAAGCAAGGAAGGAAAACAAGTATGAAACTCACTGATATGCAAAGCTAGATCCTGTTTTACATCTTACATAAACCATGTAGGTGATTTGCATTTAAAGTCTTTTGCCTAATTTACTTTGTTGCAGTATTTACTCTCATGCCAAATATATGCACAGTCAATCCCTTTTAAAGGATAAACTCTCAGCTTTACAAAAGCATATTTAACAATCCAAGCTAGCCTTTCCTAGTGAAAGGAATTTCAGAAATGTCTGCAATTTCTCAGTGGGAAGTTAGTGGTTTATGGGTAATGGAGATGAAGAGAGATGGGAATAAAACGGACGCAGAATGCATTTTCCATAGCAGGAGAGATTGAAAGTGTACCGTAGCATGACTGCAGTTTTAAGTAGAGTAAAACGAGGTCAAAAAGGAGCTCACTGCAAAGAATGGTGCATTTGTATTAAATGAAACATCAAGGCTTTCATCAAACTAGAATTAAAAAAAAATATGTATATAGTGTCTTAAATGCTGATAATATGGTCATGCAGTTTTGCCTTATATTTTTATTGCAATTTCTGTCTTTTCTAGAACAAAAAAAAGGTTATATTATAATATTTTAACCCTTATATTAACAGTTCTTGTACAATTTGAAAGAATGTATGTACAAAAAAACTACAGGAGAATGAAAAAAAATATATATTATTTTGCTAGTTTTTGTTTTCAAACCTTCTATGCGTTTTTGTTCTTTTTATACCATTAGTTGTTCAAACATGTTTTTGCAGGGAAAGAATGTGCCTCAGAACATGTTTGTTAAAAAAAGAATTCAATGTATTTTTCCGTGTCTTATTCACATTTGTATGATGATGTCGCCATCTTGAGGACAGTGTAAAAACTGGACATAGCAACACTGCATCTCAATCGGGGAATAGTTTGGAATTTTTATTATTAGAATAATATAATAATCATCCCAGAGGAGAGAAAAATGTACACAACCTTGATGTGTAGTGTATAGATTTGAACAATAATTTAAATTTATATTTTGTATACAGTAAATACAGTTTTGTCTAACTGTAAAAAAAAGTTGCTGCCTTAAATTTTTAAGTACAATCAACTTGGATGTTTGAGTCATTTCAACTTATATTACATTAACTGTTATTTGGATAAGTTTTAACTTTAAAAAGCGATGTAAAAAATTTGTATAGATTAAATCAAGTAGTAAGAGTGACACACTTATAGGAATTATAATGAAATAGGGTAGGTGGGTATGTACAATAAGCTAATGGCTTCAGTCTATACCTTTTTTGATAATTGTCTATATTTATTGAAGAAAAATGTGTATGAGGACCGAAATAAATCCTGATGATGATGATAAATAGGCTACATTAATATGATAGCTGCTACACGGAGTACACGCATGTTTTTTATTTTATTTTATTTTTTTATTGTAAGACTACACGCATGTGCTAAGGCTAAAATGCAACAGAGAATTATAGCCTACAGTATAACAGGAGGTCTCAGCCTATGTAGCCACGAAGACCTGAAATCTTCCGGGCTATTAAAAAATTATTGAATGAATTTCTCTTCCTCGCCCTTTTCATAGTCACTAGATGGCGTTGTTCTGTTTAGAAACATTCAAAGGTCGAACAAAGTTACAAAATGGAATCCAACTCTAAGCTGGAGAATAGTTTTAAAGGTAAGGGCTGCCTTTGAGCATTCCCAAAATTGATTACGGTATGTTAAAACGGGGTTTAAAGGGTTGTTTTCATGTAAACGTGCTCTCGCACTACGTTTCAACATAGTAGGCCTCTCTGACAGACTATAAACAACAGTCACAAAGCGCAGTTCTGAGTTCTGTCACAATCAATAAAGTGCTACTAATTTCACGTGACGTCGGTCAACATTGTTAAAGAGTGTGCCATAATGCCATAATGGAATTAAAAACTCGTGTTATTGATTGTGTAAACATGTCAAATGTCGTTTTTTCCAGTGAAACCCTATCCTGTGGATTTACCTGTGCAGCATTATGGCGAGCTGACCACAGGATGTGACGAATACCTGTCCAGTGTTAAGTCAGATGGTGCTAGGCTTTTCACCCTTCCTCATGGAGAGAAAGTGAGAGGAAATACACTTGCATGCAATACAGAATTTAGTTATTTAGTGTCAAAATTTTGAGAGTTGCCTACCTAGCCAATAATACTGTCTTGGTTGGCAGCTCTCTAGTTTTTGCCAGATATTATTCAAATTCCTCATAAAAGGGTGATATTTGTGATAACAGGTGGAAGTAACCTGTGAGAACATTGGTCGACTTGCATTTCTGAGAGATGGTGATTTATCATGTTTTATTCTTGCTCTCCACACACCTGAGGATGAAACACAAGGTCCAGAGAATGCTACGTTCCCCCTCTTAATATTGTTTTTGTGTCATCCTACTTCATTTGGATAATGTATAGCCTATACTTTTAGTGGTTGCTGTGTTCTTGCAAGGCAAATGGTGTCCTGTTGGTGATGTTTTGAAGACATCGAACAAATCAAGACGTGGACTTGTGTTAGTGAGTAGCACTTTTTCTTTCCTTTAGCAATGGTTTGTGCAGAAATGTCATGATGTTTTCATTGGCACCATTTCCAGGAGAGCTCTGACAGTTCTTGTCATCCCAGGTGGAGTCAGTGATGGAGAGAGTTGTGCTATTCCTGCTCAGTCAAGTTATATTTGGAATTCTGGAAAGGCCTCTCGGAGAAGACCTATATTTTTCTGCCTATTCCTTGTGGGAACATGGCAAAATTCTCTGGCAAAATGGAGAGGCGGTTGGGTTTTACACCGTCAAAAAAAAGGGTAATTTCCTTATCTAGCATGCTTAGAAATTTGGTGTAGATTTCGAAAAAAAAAAATGGTTTATTGTGTTGTTTTTTCATAGGCAGCCTGTGTGACGGCTGCTCTGGTCAGAGTTATCAGCTCCCTGTGCTGGACACTGTGTTTGTTCGCTCTCACTGGAGAAGGACCGGGCTTGCTTTACAGATGCTGGAGGATTTCTGTTTGTCCCAACCTTCCGAGGGCATTCTGGGAATTAGCTTTCCTATGTCTCCTGGCATGTATGGAGGTATGTATACACAAACGGTCAAAAGTTTGGGGTGTGTAAGATTTTTTTATGTTTTAAAGGAAATTTTCTCTCATCCAATGCTGCTTTTATTTGATCAAAATACATTACCGGATTGGTAATAATGTGAAATATTATTACAATTTAAAATAATTCTATTTTAATATATTTTTAAATGTAATGTATTCCTGATGGCATCATTACTCCAGTCTTCATGATCCTTCAGAAATCAGTGTAATTATGCTGATTTAATGCTCAAAACATGTCTTATTATTATCAATGTTAAAAACATTTGTGCTTATTAATATTGTTGTGCAAAACGTGATAATTTTTTTTAGAATTATTTGATGAATAGATTTGAAATAATAGCATTTATTTGAAATAGAAATTGTAGCATTATATGTTTTTACTGTCGCTTTTGACAATTTAATGCATTCTTGCTAAATAAAAGTATTAATTTACTTTATATATATATATATATATATATATATATATATATATATATATATATAATCTTACTGACCCCAAACTTTTCAATAGTAGTGTACCTTATGAATGAATTCTAGAGTTCAGTCAAACCAAAGCAGACAAGAGTTACAGGATTTTTCTAAATCAAAATCCAGTTTGGTGCCCAATCTGGACACCAGAATATCATAGACCATCTACATATCTGCTACGTTTTGGGAGTGACAACTGTAAGTCAATTCCTTAAATTATTGTTCCGTGTGAAATCAATAGTTTACATAGAACTGATAACAGTGGTTTCATTGGATGTTAATAAAACCACTCTTATCTGTTATTATTGATGTAATGGAAGCCTGGTACCTAAAGCTTACACAACTTGTTTAAATAATTGTTTACAGTTTGCAAGAAGTATCTCGGGATCCACAAAGAAGAACGAGACCGTCTTTATGAGGTGGAACCCCCTGGTGAATGGGCTCAGAGACGCAATGTGTGGTTAAATATCCAGATGCGGGACCTCCCAAAACACTGTAAGGCTCTTTGTTGCTGTAAAACAGCAGACATTGACATTGGTTTGGTAATAAAGAAAGACATGAGTAATTTGACTCATAGCATGTGAGCAAATGGTTTTGATTCTACTTACTGGACTTGTGTTTTAGTGTGCGTTATAGAGACTTTGTGGGTGTTATTGCAATGATCAGGGCACTTTATCTCAGAGGTGGTGCTTTTTACAGGTGGAAACTCAGAGCAGAGTCCACACAGCTCATATAGTCACGAAAGAAGGGAAGCTGATTTAGAAGAAGAGGTATGATGTTATCTTGCGTTTATATAAGCTTATCTAGTGACCGTTTACTAGCTGTTACCGTAAGTCAGTCTCCGTTGTCCTTGGTGACTCTAATATTTAATCAAATAAAATAATAAAATGAATCATTCTTTGTTGTCTTACTCATTTCTACAGGGGATTCTGCGACAATGTGGCTCATCAGTCAGTCTCAAAGACACATCAAGCTCGGAAAAGAAGCGACCAGCAGATCAGTCCAACACAGGGATTTGCTTTAAAAAAGCCCGGGCTTAACACTCATGGCAGGCAATGTCCTTTGAAAGCCATAACAGAGAGCCCAAATATTCAAAATGCATCTCTACAAAGAATGTAGATGTGGGCAAATAAATTAATTCTAAATAAAAATATGTAATGCTTTATGGGTTTATCTTTTTTAGCCTAGAGCAGAGGTGGGAGTAAGTCACACATGTTCAAGTCACAAGTAAGTCTCAAGTCCCTACCATTAAGTCTCAAGCAAGTCTAAGTCGCAGTACACACACAACCAAGTCAAGTCAAGTCAGTAGTTCACTTCAAGCAAGTCAAGTAGAGTCCTGCTAAGGGTCAAGTCAAGTCGAAGTCAAGTTACAATACCAAACAGAAAAAAAGTTTATATTGGCCTCAACCTTATTTATTTTTCCCCTCAGAAATGATTACCTTTCTTATACATTTATATCGTGATATTAATAATAGTCATATAATTTATTATAGCATGTATTTATGATTATCAAAATTTGGAATTATTATTATTATAATAACAATTATACGAAAAATGTTGAAGATAAAACATTTTAATTCACAAGTGTGATGTATTAATTATATTGGTTTTAAAGTAAATGTCATGTTTAACTTTGCTTATATCTTTTTTTATGGGAATATCACCGGCAGACATTAACGTTCCCATTAAGAGACAATATCTGACCCCTTAGATTGATTTCCATTTTTTATAACTATGTTCTAACCATTTTTTTATAACCATGCATTTACACTGCAATTACAACACCATAAATAATGTTATGAGATTTTGTTTTACTATAATATTTTAATATGGAAAAAATTCTACTTTTTTAATTATGAAATTAAAACCGCCATTAAAATGTCACATCACAATATTCACTCTTTATTCACTGAACTGTTATATAAAATCATTATCACATTTGCAATCAAGCCAATATTCTGGAAATATTGTTTGATATCATATGTTATAAATATAAAAATAACTCATACTAGTGCTATTTGTTCCACCACATCTTGAATTTTGGGTGCATTGTATTAATTCTGTTGGCATTTTGCCCCCCAGCCCCCTGGTAACGTCTGACCCTGCTTCAAGACTCAAGAGAAACATAAAACACGACAAAACATCATTAACAGTTTTCTATGTTGTTTTTCGTCATTGGAAAGAGTGTCATATTTGGCATTAAATCATTTGAAAGAAACGGTGGCAAATGTCTGTGAATTTATACACATTATACAAAACATATATGCCATCATTAATTATCATTTGAATCTATTGTGACAGTCTTAAGGACCACAATGGAAACAAGCCTAACGTTAGTCAAATTAACTATAACAAACAGGTTAAACAAGCCATATCCTCGTCATGTCCGATATCCCTTTGCAGTTGTTGCGTACATCAAATCTTTTATGAATAATGGTCAATTTCGAGTGTTTATACCATAGACTGTAAAAGCTTTATAACCAAAGAGAAAAGATGCTGGGAGATGTTTTTGTATTTAGCGCGCTCACCACGCTGTATGTGTGTGTGTGTGTGTGTTTGATTGCTTGTTATTGGTATATTTATTATATATATTATATATAATATAATTATAATTTAATATATATTATAATTTATATAATTTAATATATATTATATTCTTTTTATGTAATTTGTATATGTGTAAATGTATTGTGTAGCTAATGTTTCATTTCACAAAACAAAAATTATATTTCCACAAAATAAAAATGTGTGTTTTTTAAATATGAATCAGACTACCCAAAAGTGATGTATGTTCAGTTTAGTCAATTCCATTGATGATTTATAAAATGGCATTGGCCTATTGCCTATAAAATAAAAAAACAATATTTTGAAGATATAGTAGATTGATAGATGATTTTACGTCCCTATATAAAACTAAAAAAAAAATCGGTGCACTTAAATAACAGAAAACAGGTTTCCACTGCTATCATAAAACTGTGATGATGAATATTTTACTTTTCATAGAGCAAGGTCAGTGCAGTAGAAAAAGATAAGCAAAAAATAATTCACTTCTCATTTTAAACTCTTTATTTTACATTAATTTATATATTGTCATGTCATGTCAACAAGTTACAAGTACAATGTTTCCCCGCATCGCTAAACTGCGTTTCAAATGGATAGAGATTTCATGATGACGTAACCAGGAAGTGGCTGAGCTTTCGACGAAATCAAAAATCATCGGCAGAAGATGAGTCGCATTTATGACAACACTGCGTTATTAAACAAACCTGTGCATAATGAGAAACTATCCTCCGCATGGGATCCAATAGTTCATCAGAGGTAATAACTTACTTTAAAGTGCAAGCTTGCTTTTTGCAGTTGTCGACTGTTTACTTCTCCTCGTCTCCCTTACAAGTTGGTAACTAGTCTCCAAATACAATAGTTACATAAGTTATAGCTAATACTGTAAAAACATTATGAAATAATTTGATATGCTATAGGCCTATGCTTCAAAATGTGAAATATTTTGTCAATTGTGTAATAGCAAGTTATTATAGTTTATGGCAACACCAACTGTGGCGTTCTGGCGGAAACGATCGTTACCATAGTACTTGTATCATAGTACCATGGTACACCGTACAATGTGTTTTATGTATCATTTTCACTTTCCAGTGGTCATGGTGTCATTTTAGAGGGGGCGGTCCTGGATGTGTCACGCCATGTCATAACAGATGTGAACAACAGAAAGGTAAAATGTTTGTTTATTAGAGAACTTCAAACTGTTCCTCAACTCAGAAACGTAGGTTGTACTCTGCAATCATGATCATTCACTAATTTAAACTACCGTTCAGAAGTCTGGGGTCAGTAAAACTTAACTGTTACAAATGAATGCTGTTCTTTTGAACTTTCTATTCATCAGAGAATCCTAAAAATCTTGGCGTACACAATGAAACTTATAATATTAAATAATAGAGAATATATGTCAACATTAATAATAAGAAACAAATGAGCATCACATCAGCATAATAGAATAGAATGATTTCTGAAGAATCATGTGACACTGAAGACTGGAGTGATGATGCTGAAAATTCAGCTTTGTATTACAGGTCCATTTAAAATATCTTACTTATCTTAGAAAACAGTTATTTTAAGTTGTAATAATATTTAACAATACTATGTTTTACTGTATTTTTATCAAATAAATGCAGCCGTGGTGAGCATAAGAGTCTTTGTTCAAAAACATTTTAAAATTATATCAACCCCAAACATTTGAACAGTCGAGAATATGATATAATAATTTTATTTGTAATAAAATGATAATATAATATTTTCCATGACTCTTAGTGATTCAGCAATTGTTTTGTTGCAAGTTTCTGATATCCTTTTAATTAAAATCTAAATTGTGTTTATTTTAGGAGCGCTTCAATGTTTTGTACATCAAACCAAGCCGAATCCATCGCAGAAAATATGATTCAAAAGGAAATGAGATTGAACCTAACTTCAGTGATACCCGGAAGGTCAACACAGGTTATCTGATGTCATCCTTCAGTGAGTAGCCATAACGTGCATTTATTTAGAACCATTCGGTTTTAATATGGCATGTTTTTACTGTGCTTTTTAATGGCAGCCTGTTTTTTTTTACATAACTATTACAAGTAAATGTAATATGCCGATTTATAAAATATGTATGGCAGCAGACTATTATATGCATGTTGTGAGCAAAAGGTGTGTTTGTGTGTCTCAACCTTGCAGAAGTGGAGGCTAAGGGTGAAACAGATTGTCTAGATGAGCGCCAACTGAGGGATATTGTGAATAAGGACCAGTTGGTTAAATTGACTTCAAAACATTGCCCTGGTCAGGCCTTTGCATTCTGGATCTCAGAGGAGGAGATGAGCAAAACAGAGCTTGAGTCTGGCCAAGAAATCCGTCTTAAGACAAAAGGAGACGGGCCCTTTATTTGTGAGTGCAATGCTGAAAATAGTATGTACTTCTAAGTAAATCAAGGTGGCTACACTGTTCTGTCTGTTTTTGCCTGTCTAGTTTCCTTCGCCAAACTGGATGGTGGTACAGTGACAAAGTGCAACTTTGCAGGAGATGAGAACGCTGGAGCATCGTGGACAGACAAAATATTGGCTAACAAAACTGATCAGGAAAAGACAGGGAAGAGTGTCAGTCAGGGTGACGGAGCAGACGATGAAGAATGGGTAAGATTCTCTGCTCAACTGAAAATGTTTTGTGTTTTGCTCTGGCCACATGAAGCATTTGTTTAGGAAATGGGTTTATCATGAACAGATGTGTAATCAATTTGAACATTTCCTGTTATTCTATCATCAAGAGGTTTAAGATTAAGTCATATGAATGCAATGATCCAGTGAAGGATTTGTTTGAGTTTCTTTGTGCAAACCTGTAATATCTGTTTTATGTTGTTTGGGATCTTGCTTTCAGGATGACTGAATGACACCCTTGAGCTTCCAGGATTGGATCACAGTGCCTTGTTATCTGTCTTCCAAATGTATATTTACACCACAAAACAAGACCTCACAGTCAGTATTCCTGTTATCACATGAAAATATAATAAACAGCAAAAGTGCCATTTTAAAAGAAAGACTGTTATGCATTTTTATGTACTAAGTATTTTCAAAAGCTTATCCTTAAGATCATTAAGCATCGTTATTGAAAATGTTTTTATAATATTTCATAATCATATTTATACATGCAACTATATTAAAATGATGGCCGATTAATGGCTGATTCTAAAATGATACACTTTTTTAAAACACTAAAACTTAAAATCAGTTGTTTTAATTGTTAAGTAAGTTTAGGCATCGCAAAATTATCATGTACAGTATAAATAAATGATATACATTTATATACATAGATTTGTGTTTTTTAGTGAGCGTTAAATGGCAGCAACGGTCATTTTAATGTAAAAAGGAAAATATGCATGCACAATCTAATATCGACAATATATATAAATGTGTGTGTGTTACAGATCTATTACTGTACCAGTGCATCAAAAGAAACAGCAGTGTACAAAAATTCACTTTATTTAACGATTTACATGTTTAAAAATATGAAATCTCATGAATCACAACTTTTGTCATTCATAATATCATCAATCACAGTAATCAACAAAATTATAGCTATGGTTTTATAAAAATGTAATATGTCAAAATACTAGCTTTAATAATATGCATTTTAATTAAAATAAACTATACAAATACAAGGAATAACATAATAGTCCTTTGTGCTTTTGTTTTTGGTTCATGTGCTAAGATGTGATTTCATCACTGTAAACAATACTCAGTAATGTCAGCTAAATTATATTAAAAGCAATAAATTAAGCTGTCCTAAACATTCAATTTTTGCCTTTTCTCTTATATACACCATAGATCTGGCTTTGACTACTCAAAACAGCATAGGGAATGTGTTATGTAGCCATTTAAAAATTGCACATTCATTGTTCTTCTCTTCTAACGCTCGACTAATTCTCCAGCGAATACCATCTCAGAACCACAGGAGGGAGTTGCTTTGATTGTGAAATGCCTTTACATCTGTTTTTGATTGTGCATGCCTACAAAAACTCTTATCCTACAGCTGTCCATTGAACCAATCCTTAACATTCTGCTTGTTTTCATTCACCCACTTAATGTTGGCCTCTGTCCTTTCAATGACCTGCTCCAAAGCTCGAGCTGCGAACCCCTGATCATTCTTATCCTGGTCCCTCTGAAGCTGCTTCAGCTGTGGAAAGACAATTTTGAATGTTTGCGTAAGAACAATGGTGGAAACACAATTACAGACTGAGACATCATCAACTATTACTCTTTATCATCCCTCTACAATAACTGAAAGAGTCAGAGAGTAACCAGAAAAGGCAAACAACAGCACCTCTTCAAGTTCAACGTCCCTGGAGAATCTCTTTGTCACGCCATCTAGTAGACTGCCTAAAGATATGATTCCCGCTCCATACCTGGCCAAAAAAGATGATTGTTAGTCACATGTCTATATACTTATAGTTCCCAAGTAACAGAGATAAAACCTTTAAGACAATTAAGACTATCATGCATTTATAGCTGAAGGCAGCCTTTGGACCCTGAATTGCTGTTGATCTTTGACACTTTTTATGTAACTTAGGTGTTATAACTTCCTGATTGCTGTGGCAATTCCCGATTCATATTTTATAATTCATCATTTATTTCAAGCCAAAGACAGACTGAACATGTTTGCGGAATATATCATTTGAGTGGTTTCATTTGCCCGCACTGTAAAAAAATAAAATAAAATGTATTGTTTGTATTGTATTGTAAATTATTGGAGTGCGTTTTACAAGAAAATACAATCTCAAGTCTTTCTACTTTGAAATGTTGTCTTTAATTCAATGTGTTACTTGCTGTTTCTTTGTAATAATTGTGAAATTTACTAGCACGTTTTTTAAATGTGCAACTTGTTACTCCACCAAGAGTTTTCATTGATTGAATTTAAATAATCATAACTTACTCTTGGGTGATATAAGACCACTTGCCACGAACAAAATCCCATGCGAGAGGCTGGCCGGCGACATTTTTGGCAATGTAGTTTATGGTAGAGACCATATCCATATTTCGTATCTTTGAAGGGTCAAGAGTGTACTCAAGATATCTGTTGGATTACAAACGTCAATAGTGAGTATAAAGTAAACATGGTGTAAAAACGTTGAGATGGTGTAAAGCTCAAATCGCTGCCCTGACCTGTTCAGCAGCCAGATTTCTTTGGTACATGATAGGGCATATCTTAATTTGTCTTTCTCGGCAGCAACTGTAGTCCTTTGGTATTCTTCCCAAACAAATTCCCAATCATCCTCATCACCGGCAGCTATTGCACTGCAATAGATTGCTCTCCTCAAATTCGGATGAATCCTAAATGTAAAAATACATCAGCTTTCAAGTCAATATATCTTATGTATATGCATAGATATCTTGTAGAACTGTAATTTACAATAATTTCATTTAGTCTTAAAGACGCAACTCACAGATTTGTGCCATTTTTATAATCCATGAATAGACTTGTTGCCATTTCTATGCAATCAGGAAGGCCATGGGTGCAGGCCACTGAAATAGCATTTACCTGGTTATGCCTAAGAAGAAATACAATCAAAGAATGTTTGCTAGATTTCCAACAAAATATAGTCTACGTAAAGAAAGACAAAAAATGTGCTTACTGGTCAGTGTAATCCTCAGGAATGGTTCCATTATTTGTGTACCCTTCAAAGTGCTCATATAGTCCTGTAATTTGCTTGCGTAGGTATTTCTTGAGATAGAAATGTACATATAGGTTATCACATTTTTCACTGTTTTGTATATGTGTTCAATTAGACTGTTTCCTTGTGCTCACCGTTATCGCACCATAGACCTCAGAGCGATCAAACATAAGGATAAAATGGTCCAGGTTTTTCAGTGCTGACTCCCATGGAATATACTCAGTATCATTCACCAGGAACTTAGTTAGATTTAGTGGAATATTGACGTCGAGGCGATGAGCCCTTTACAAAAAATATTAGAAGTTAACATACAGCAACAAATCCCAGTGAACAATAGAATTACCAAATAATCTAAATGAAAAATGTACCTTGCAAGATTAAAGGCGTCATCAATGAGTTGCCCTCGGTTGATGAGTGGAATGATCTAAAGATGGAAGGTATTTTTAATCTCATCAGTATTCTGCTTGAATTTTGAATATTTTCTGTAAATGACAAAACATAGCCTACTTCACGCAAGTACGTGAACGCAGACGCTCATGCTACGCAATCTCGATTTCGCAAGTTGCGTAGGCTACTGAAATGTGTCGGATCGCGCGCATTATTCTCAGCGCTGCCACGAGAGGCGATAGCGTGAAATTACGTCAATTACCAAATTTTTACAGATTTTGTATCTTTTTAACAGTTTCAGTTCAGCAGCGGCTACTGTATGCCGAACGTCACATGAACAAACAGGAAAACAAGTCTCGTCGGAGAAAGTGTTACAGCAGTGTGAAATGATGGCGATAAATGGACTTTTAAGGTAGGCCTAATCAGCTAACCTAACAAATTATTTTTATTGTTGCAGTTTTATTCATTTTTAAAATCCAAAGGTTAGTCAAAAGAAGAAAGATTTAGATATCAGATTTTTTAGATATCAAGCATATGCGATGGACATCGGTTATGCTCATTTTTGGTATAGCTCCTTTAAGGCATCTTGAGTAAAACAGTTACAGTAGGCCTATAGACAAAGCATATACAAAATAACTTTTTTATATATTGCAGCATTTATAATGACCTATCTGTGCACATCAAGTTCATGTGCTCTAGTAATCCTTAATCAAAATAACAAATTATTATAGTTGTCGTCTCCCATCCACCACTAGAAGTTTACCCAACGATGACGACTTCCGCTTCTGAGAACCCCCGCAAATGTGAGAAGTTCACGCAATGTCGCAATGTAATTATGAGATGATAACATGATGTTCTACTCGAAGCTGTTCACTCAGAATTGGAATTATCAACAGCAATGGAAATATGCAGTCATATGGTGCAAACTGGAGCTCTCAGAAAATTCCCAGTTAACATGCTGTAATTACGATTTCTACGTGAACGTGAATGCTTTTTACAATTCGTAATCTCGTAATTAGACGTTGTGTAAACGCACCTAAGGGTCTATAGCAAACCACAACAATCCAACGATCCATTCAATTCCTAATGGACAAAATCAAGTCCCGCCCTACATTTTTCTTGTTCGAGAAGCCGTTGCACTCTGATATACGTCACAATAGGGAAGAAAAGACTAAAACAACTTCCATTTCATGCTGATTCATTATGTTTATTGCAATTTATCCAGTGATACGGTTTCATGTGAGAGGCAGCCTATTTGAATGTATCTCTATCGCCCCCTTGAGTAGCTTACTGAAGTTTGAGACTGCTAGACCAATGGAACAGCGCACGTAAGTATGTTTAACCGGATCAGTTGTTGGCCAAGGGTTTGCGTACTTGGGCAAAGTTATGTTGCTGCCCTTAACTGTAAAGTGATTTAAAAAGGATGCTAATAACATGTCTTACATGATGATTTTTCTCAAGCTGCATTTGAAGTTTGTTCCAGTTTTCTTCATCGTAGTTCACACGGTAAAAGCCAGTGCAGTTGATGTTGGCGAGAACCCATTGATCTTTGAGTTGAAAATGTGGCCTTCGAACTATAAGGAAGGATGCAGAAATGAGCAGCAAGGTTAATCACTACAAACAGCTACTGCATATTTAGCCCTGTTGTTTTGGCAGGTTTCCTTCTCATATTTTAAAATGAAGCTTTAAAGTTTATTCGTTCCTTACCTGGACCATTTACTTTCAGTAAATCTTTTTTCAACCCCGGATCATCAGACTTAATGTATGTGATTTGAACCTGCCATGGAATACTGTTAGGAATAAAATAAACAATATTTGAATTTGGAAACTACTAAACAATAAAGACTATATTGCATATAATGGTACAATAATTTAGGACTTTTTATTTTATTAGTTTAAATCCAATGCTATAAATGGCCTACCATGGAACCTAAATGATTCGGTAAATATGATAATATTGAATACTATTGATTTTTGGAACTCACTTATGGCCCACGCCTGGCTTTAGTAAAAACTGTTCTTGAGAAGTCTCCCCCGTCTGGGTAATAATGGTGATTACTGGGTACCCAACTTGCTCAATCCATGTGCTCATGAAGCCTTCCAAATCTAGATTTGTCTCCTGATCATTGTTGGAAATATTTGTCATTATTCTCTCATATTATTTCAACTTAAAAAATAGAATATAGGTCCTCGATTTACCTTTTGCAAGCATTCCAAAAGATCGCTGTACACAGTGTTATTGTACTGGAAGTTGTTGAGATACATCTAAAATATATACATTTAGCAATTAGACAATTAGTCCTGACCATACTTTAAAATATTATATACATAAACAATACATAATCACATCATATCACAAAAGGTCATAAGTTGTAAAAACACAATTATATCAAAATATGATATAATATATAAAATTTGAGTTGGGGATTTAAAAATCTAAATAAAGCATCTGAACATTATATAAATACATTGTTTTTAAATAATTATACAGTACTGTTATACCATATATATTCTTGTGATGGCTAAGCTGTTTTCAACCTTGATAATAATAAAAAATATTTCTTGAGCACCAAATCAGCAGATTAGAATGATTTCTGTAGTAATGATGCTGAAAATCCAGTTTTGCCATCACAGGAATAAGTTACATTTCAAAAGTAAATAAAATAGAGTTAGAATAAAACTTCGGCTTACCTTGACTCCTCTCATAAATGCTATTTCAGTCATGAATGAGGACAGCATTCTCAACACAGCAGCACCCTAGAGGATGTACAGAGCATGAAGGGGTTTTTTCATTATTAATTTTGAACATTAAGCTACTTACTGACACTATAACTGTATTGAGATGTCATGCCAACCTTGCTGTATGTGACATCATCAAAAAGTTCTATGATCTCAGAGAAAGTTTGAATATCATTTTCATACAAGCTGAGAGGATGAGAAGAGTTCAAGGAATCCACTTGAAAGGCGGACTGGATTTCTCTGAGAACAATTAGATCTTTCTGAAAACACAAATGAACAATATCATCAGAGGAAGTTGGAGGTGGCAGAGTTTGAATTTAATTAAGTTATTCCCATTATAGTTGTCGACAAATAAAAACTAAATAAAATCCTAAAATAAACAAAAACATACCAAGTCCCATTTAGCAGCTTCCACCCCAATGTATGACATATATGTCGCAAATGCTTCATTCAGCCACAGGTCATTCCACCAGCGCATAGTGACAAGGTTTCCAAACCACTGAAATTAAGCACAGGTATGAAATGGAAAAATTATTTATTTAAAGATTTATGATTTAGGGGTCCTCAACCCCTATAGTTCTATGGATGATCTAAATATGTTATGTTCTAAAGACCTACATCAGAGAAATTACACTGCAGAATGCACATTTTAAAATGTAGTTAACTATTTAATCGCATAATCATAGGAAAGCAAAAATAAATAGGCTAATCAAAATTATCATATATTTTGATTATGTTTATTTATTTGGATATATATATATATATATATACACTCACCGGCCACTTTATTAGGTACACCTGTCCAACTGCTCGTTAACACTTAATTTCTAAGCAGCCAATCACATGGCGGCAACTCAGTGCATTTAGGCATGTAGACATGGTCAAGACAATCTCCTGCAGTTCAAACCGAGCATCAGTATGGGGAAGAAAGTTGATTTGAGTGACTTTGAACGTGGCATGATTGTTGGTGCCAGAAGGGCTGGTCTGAGTATTTCAGAAACTGCTAATCTACTGGGATTTTCACGCACAACCATCTCTAGGGTTTACAGAGAATGGTCCGAAAAAGAAAAAACATCCAGTGAGCGGCAGTTCTGTGGGCGGAAATGCCTTGTTGATGCCAGAGGTCAGAGGAGAATGGCCAGACTGGTTCGAGCTGATAGAAGGGCAACAGTGACTGAAATAACCACTCGTTACAACCGAGGTATGCAGCAAAGCATTTGTGAAGCCACAACACGCACAACCTTGAGGCGGATGGGCTACAACAGCAGAAGACTCCACCGGGTACCACTCATCTCCACTACAAATAGGAAAAAGAGGCTACAATTTGCAAGAGCTCACCAAAATTGAACAGTTGAAGAGTGGAAAAATGTTGCCTGGTCTGATGAGTCTCGATTTCTGTTGAGACATTCAGATGTTAGAGTCAGAATTTGGCGTAAACAGAATGAGAACATGGAACCATCATGCCTTGTTACCACTGTGCAGGCTGGTGGTGGTGGTGTAATGGTGTGGGGGATGTTTTCCTGGCACACTTTAGGCCCCTTAGTGCCAATTGGGCATCGTTTAAATGCCACGGCCTACCTGAGCATTGTTTCTGACCATGTCCATCCCTTTATGGCCACCATGTACCCATCCTCTGATGGCTACTTCCACCATGTCACAAAGCTCTAATCATTTCAAATTGGTTTCTTGAACATGACAATGAGTTCACTGTACTAAAATGGCCTCCACAGTCACCAGATCTCAACCCAATAGAGCATCTTTGGGATGTGGTGGAACGGGAGATTCGCATCATGGATGTGCAGCCGACAAATCTGCGGCAACTGTGTGATGCCATCATGTCAATATGGACCAAACTCCCTGAGGAATGCTTCCAGCACCTTGTTGAATCTATGCCACGAAGAATTGAGGCAGTTCTGAAGGCAAAAGGGGGTCCAACCCGTTACTAGCATGGGGTACCTAATAAAGTGGCCGGTGAGTGTATATATATACTGTATATATATATATATATATATATATATATATATATATATATATATATATATATATATATATTTAGGTTGTCATACTGCAGTTTACAATGCCATTCAATGAAATATCTAGCCTTATGTAAACTTTAGTCAGTGATGAATTATGCAATAGGAAATAAAGGTTTTGAATATGTTTACCTGATGTGCCAACTCATGAGCAATCTGAGTGGCCACCCGTTCTTTATCAAAGGTTGATCCCGTAACTCTATCATACAGCAAACCTGACTCCTGATATGAAATTAAACCCCAGTTTTCCATGGCTCCGCCACTGAAATCTGGCAGGGCAATCTGATCTGTAATAAAACAAATTTTGCTTCTGATCCTCCATGTCTTTTTATATGGAACACAGACTCATTTCAGCTTGTTTAGCATATTCTGTTTGGGATAGTTCACCTAAAAATGAACGTTGTGCAATGTTGTTCTTGTTCCATACCTGATTTTTTTTAGAACACAAAAGATATTTGGTAACACTTTACAACAAGGTCTTATTTGTTAACATTAGTTAATGCAATAATTAACATGAACTAACAAAGAACAATATTCTTACAGCATTCTTACCCTTTGTTAATGTTAGTTAAAAACAATGTTCATGTTAGGTCCCTAATGTTAACAGATACAACTTTTGATTTTAATGTAAAAGTTGAATTAACATTTACTAAGATTAATAAATGCTGTAGACGTATTGTTTGCTGTTAGTTAATGTTAACTAATGTAGTTAATTTATGTTATAAAATTAAACCTTATTGTAAAGTGGTACCAGTTATTTTGAAGAAGGTCTTTTGTACGGTCCATACAATAAAAGTCAATGGGGTCCAAATTTTTGTTGTATGGGCACAAAAAAAACACATTTAATAAGTGGTGAACTTCATGTATTGATGCAAGCACTTAAAATAAACCAAATAATTCAATAGAGCCATTGAAACCTCGTTGTTTTTTCCCCTTGACTCACCTAGTTTGTCCAGTGGGTATTTAAATCCAAATTCTTTCTCATAGTGAATCAGAATCTCATGTGTTATTTCAGCTGCATAGTCAGCATGGCCAGCAGCAATAGCCTCTCTCCGAGCATATATCTTAGAAACACATCATAATAATAATTTGTGAAATGTAAAAAAAAGAAAGCCAGCACTGAAGTGTCTTTAAAAGTGAAAGGAGCATACATGCATGTTTGACCCAAAAGGTACTGATTTAGACGTAAAATCAGATAACGTGAAAGCCAATAGATAAGTGGACATGACGGGGGTCTTTGGAAATGTAGTCACAACCCATTCTTCTCCATCTATTTCTATTGTTACTGGTACTGAAAAACAGAAATAATACATTGAGCATAAATACCTTGATTTTTGTTTTGTTTACAATGCATTGTTTAAATCCTTTTCAAACAAGCAACAGCCTTTTCAAAATTTGTCAGGTTTTGAACGCTACTATTTGCTGTTTTGACATTTATTGTTGTCTGTATTAGAGACTGTATTTAAGACTAAATATTTACACTTTTAAAAATAACGGTTCTTAATATCCCCCCCCCCCCCACACACACACACGCTTATTTTTAAGTGTGTATATATATTATATATCAAATATGTTCTTTCATGTACAGTGAAATTTTGACTTTGTCAAGCCTGACAAGTTAGGATCCTAACCTCCGTCTTTATTGGACAGGGCTGTAATTCCAGGTCTGTGGATAATAATAATCTCAAACACAGCCTTCAGAGCTGGCTCATCAAAGCACGGAAATACTCTCCTCGCGTCTGTGGGTTGCAACAGGCTGGTGGCGAGGAATCTGTTTGTGGAGAAGTATTTATGCAAATTATGTTCTGGATTTATCTTTCACGTATTTGTCATTAAAAATGTATGTAAAATAACAGTAAATGTACATAATGGCGATTTCATACAAAAAAACCTCAGGAGGCTTCTCACAATAAACAATTTGCCGGACAAAAGATAGCCTGTGGTGAATATTATGAAGAGAAAGTTTAGAAAATAAATGTTTTAAACTATTTATGTGACCAAATACATGCAAATATATCTTAATAACACATTCACATTTTGTCAGTCAATGAATGTTCTCGGGTGTTTTTAACCGAACTGAAAAGAGACATTTGTAAGACAAAAATATAAAATATAATTTTATATATATATGATTAAAAGAAACTAGATTTCCTGATATCTTTACCTCTCTTCATCCTCCTCATCTTCGTCTTTACTCTTCTCAGTGTACCGGCTCACGTACAACCCAGTCAAGTCTTCAAAAAGTTCCCCTTCAAAGTTGGTAAAAAGATCATAGGTCCCATTTCCAGATAACTTGTCCTCGAGTTGGATCTCGAGAAAATTACTTACATTGTAATGAATTGTATATCTGCTCTCTAATATTTCATTTGAATCAGATTTTCTCACTTCCACATTCGTCACATTTAGGTTGTGAACATGAAGTAAGATGGTTTTGGAGTCTTTCATACACTTAAACGTTACAGTTGAGTTCCCCGTGAAAAAGAAGGATTGGTTTGTGTAGTTGTTAGTTATCGCTCCGTAAAGGTACGGTTGGAGGACGACTTTGTAGCTCTCAGGGATCAAATAGTCGTAAAGTCTGAGATTCGTTGGAAGATCTGTTGGAATAACCGGAGGTTTAGTTGGACGAGGTGGTTCAATTGGAGGTTTTTTCTCTATTTCAATTTGGAACATCACTACCATCAATACTAAACCGCAAACAGAAGAAACTGTGAGGACCCCAATGCCGACAGCCACGGCCTTGGAAATGCCAGTTCCTTTGGCCATTTCTGATCCTTCTGAGAAACCTCCAAGAATGAAGTGAGCTAAGGGAACTTGCTGAGCGTTTTTAGACTCTGTACCCTCTCACAGATCTTGACAATATATCAATTGGGGCGCCAAGCACCACTACCACGCCTATCAAGGTTACACATTAACTAGCATGGATGAGCCAGAAACACACAAACATGACTGTATTTGACATGCAATGCGTTACATCGCTCTTTGTCCCACATCTGGAATCAGTTATAATATCTGTTATGCAGTCAAAGGTCAGCAAAAACACATTAGAGAGTTTGTTGCTGAGAAAAGAGATGTGCATTCTGAAAGTAAATGTTCTTAATCACTGGAACTGAGCGGAGTAATCCCATTCTGATCCTCTTGAGTCCATCTTATGTTCTGCCATAGACCTTCAGGCATCCAGCTGTTTGGGACCCTGCATGGCAGAGGTGACAGCTGTGTTCTGCCCAGAAACTTCTCTGATTACTCATTGAACAAAAAAAAAAAACGTCATTGATGGATTTCTGAGCCTTTTCTACTACTAAATCAGTTTGTCTTTGAGTGAAATTTGGAGTTAGGGGAGGGGACTTTTCTTTTTTAACTCAACCCAACCTTCCCAGTTTTAATCTAAACGTCTTTAAAATCAGCAGATGGTAAGATGAATCTACTTTTTAGATGTAGATGGATGGATGGATAGATAGAAAACTGTCACTCTTTAAAAATACTTTAAATATCTATTTATATTCATCTTAAATTCAAATCATTGTGTCCATTTCGTGTGGCTCTTTTAAACATTAAAATGGACTAAATAATGATTTTAAATGATCTAAAAAACAATCCTACAAATAAATAATAATAAAAAACACTTATATAACAACATAAAACGTTGCCGCCCCTCGTCTATGGAACCAATTGCCTCTGGCCAGCCGCTTTGCACCTTCCATTACCATTTTTAAATAAAAATTGAAAACGTATCTTACTCCTGTTTTATTGTCTGTTTCGTTTCGTTTTTTTCTGTTTTTATTTTCTTTTTCTTTACTCTGTTCAGCACTTTGGATAGCTTTGCTATGTTTAAGTGTGCTATATAAATAAAATTGACTTGAAGTATAACTGAAAGCTTCAGTGAACCATTTGCATTTTTTTTTTAAACAATCAAAACAGAACAAATGTTTAGTAAAATCGTATCAATTTATTGTAACTGCACCGAAAAGAAAAGGGTATGGTGGTGCCATCCTGTGGATGAGCATAAAGTACTGCACACACATCACATTTCATCCACTGGTTGTTTACAATGGGGGGAAAAGGAAAATGGACAGAACTTCTATCCACATGACATACATTATATGAGTTATCTATTAGTTTTTGGGGCTAAAGACAATATTTTCATTCCATAAAAAAAAAAAAGCAAAACTCCATGGAAGAAGAACTTCATTAAAGGCACATTATATTAATGCTTAGCATGAATGCTGATCTGATCTTAATCAATACATGCGTATTCATTGGTCAGCTAATACCTCTCATAATGTAAAGAATGTCGAAGCAGTTCAAGTTTTACTCATTACTTCTTTAGAAAGCCCTAAACTCAAGATTGTGCTTTTAATTGTATTATGCAAGACATTTGCCCCAAATATGGATAAACTCTAGAATGCAACAGAATACATTTTCACTCATGTGAAAATCCTTAAAAACACTCAATAACAGGCTCGAACTAAAATAAAATCAATCTATTTCAATTCCAGTTTATGAAAGTGAGATTAAAATTAAATTGTCAGAAGAGGAAAAAGTGGTCTGAAATACAGATTTTCAGGAATGTCATAACTTTTCGTCACAGATTGCTGAAAACACTGAAGTAATATCTAGTTCAGGACATAGATTCACACAAATAAAGGCAAAAAAAACTATTTTTGATGATTTCTAAACTGGAACACACAAGGAATGAAATGTTAAGAGTTCATGTCAAAGTGATCAACCCTCCATTGCTGCAATCTGCTTTATCCTAACTTTACATAAACTCCTAAAAAATGCACTGGATCATAAACCTTCATAGCACAAGTCAAAACTCTTTTTAGGCATAATTGTAAGGTTAATAAAATGCACATATATTGAAACTTAATCCAGTTATTTGCTAGCAAGGTGTGGCTGATGTATAATAACAGCATTAAATAATTTTCATTAGAGAGGATCAGAATTGTGTTATCTGATTATATTTTTGGTCCATCTAATGTTTTTTCTTCCGGATGTGGCCGTGATTGTTTAAGATTCGACTTCACCAGAGCCAACTGTCTAAATGCTGAAGGCAATAGCAAGACTGCTGGAGGATTGACGTCAGCTCTCTGTAACTTTGCTCTTTCCAGTTGGGAAGGAGTCTTTCATTGTTAAGCGCCTGAAGCTTTGGCGTTCCTTCACGCAAGACCTGATACAAGCAGGGCCATCGGCTCTGTATCTGTAGTCGAGTCCTGCGGTCCAGAGTAATGCCCCGAACGATCTTCTTCGCCCGCAGCTCTCGCAGCGCTGGAAGGTTTAGGCAGGAGAAGACCAGACCGCGACTGGGCGACACGTCCAAGAACTCAAGCGAAAGGGATTCAAGGGTGTACGAGATGCCTAAATTCCGCAGAGGTACAAGAACATGGAGGGTAAGGGACTTTAGATTGGGGAGCGATTTCGTCAGTGTCTGTAAAGTGTTCGGGCTGACCCCTTTGAATACCCAAAAGTACTTCAGTTCTAAGATACGAAGGTGTTGAAACTGAGTGATCAGCGTAACTGACGTTTCGGACCAGTCGAAGTGCAGCCGCATTTTGGTTATCCTGGGACAGCTGTGGACGAGTCTGGTCAGGAGAATCTGGAAGTTATTGACCTGGTCCATCTTGGTAATATTGTCTTGATGAGAGCTAGAACTGGTGTGAACGCGAAGGTCGAGGGGCTCCAGCAGCGTAAATGTCCAGTTTAAATCTAAATGACTGAGATCACGGCAATGGACGTTCTCTAGAAGGTGTGACAGGAGCTCTCCCCATTTATTGCACAGGTCCCCTAGATCAAAACTGGCCTTCAGAGTGAGCAAACTAGCCCCACGGGATATAAGATGATGGGTGTAATGGTGAACCCAAGCTTTCCAGCGCTCAAACTCTCTGTTGGAAACTAGCAGACCCTCCTGGCCGAGATGAAACACCCCACGGCGAGAATAGTCTGCAACTCTCCAGAGCTTCCCGGAGCGCACTAAGCAACTCCAGCTTGCACACACAAGGGCAGAGTTGCACTTGTCCACCTCACTGAGGAATGAGAGCACATGGAGCTGGCACTCCATGGGTAGGGAGTTGAAAGGGAAGTAATCTTCATCACCTTTAACCCTTCTCCTTGTATTAATGGGAACAAGGGCTCTCTTCCGTTGAGGCATGTTTGTCAGTGCTTGGTTAAATCTTCAAGATCATCCTTTTGTCTTGCTCTCTCATTGAGAGACGTTTGACTGCACCTAACATAAAACAAAATGTCATTTATAATGTGCATTTCAACAGTAAATGCATAAAACATTGTCTGCAATTTATATCCAAAGATCAATTCTGACTGACTGTTATCTCTAGCACCACTGCAATTGTTTCAATTCAATTCGATTCGTGAAAGAAATCGTTCACGAATCCAAAAAAAATGTAATTTCTAATGTGCATCAAGACAGAGCATCTTAACAGAAAATTCATAAAACGTATGGAATCTTAAAACATTTTGACGTCTGCAAGTTTTACGATTTATATATTTTAAATTAAATAAGTAAACATAATATATGTGGAAACACTTAAGCTAGTGATAACTTACCTTTGACATACTAGCACATTCCTGAGATGTAAAGTTAATATTAATCGCAAAGACAACTCAGCACATTGCTGTTTTTGCCTAACTTTTGGACGAAATAAGGCATGTAATTTTTTTTTTTTAACAAACTATGCAAAATAGTTTTATAGACCGCTAGTAGCGCGTTGTTAGCCTGTCACTGCGGCCTGACATATTTTAGCGATAGATGTAAAACAAAACTGTTAGCTCGCTCAATAGAATAATTGAACTCAAACTATCGTGTCAGTCTGACTGAGCTCTTAATTAAAAAAGAACGCTTTAATTAGTGAGAATTAGTCAGGACTTTAGAGCAAACTAAGAAGCTAAGCTGTGCTGAGAATCCCTTTGAGGGGCTGTTGTTTTTCTCGGCGAGTGACATCATCAATGTGCGTGCTGCAGCCTTGGGTGTTTATGGCTGATCCGGGAACAGCTCTGTAAATGTTCTCCAAATATAGTTAAAACAGGTTTTAGATTGAAAAAACTGACTTGAGGACAGGCTCAACATGCTTTTCGACTTCTGCTGTCATGAGTTCAGCATAAGCGGCGACAGCGGTATCGTTTTGTCACATCACTATTTTTTTTATATCTCACGCTGATCGATATTATTAATAAAAGAATCATGTCAGAAACATAATTTACAGCGTGTATCTGGCAACGTTATGATACATCATAGAAATCGGTGAATCGGTTCTTTCGAACAGGTTTTAAAAAGCCATTCCATCTGTTAATTTACGTCATTCCGTTGTCTCGGCGTGCTCAAGATATTCTAATAAAGAAATTCAAAGATATATCAATACTATTTTTCATTCACATAATAAGAAAACAATTAGACTCCGTGTCTATATGTGAGCCCTTTAATATATTTAGTGATGGAAAGTCCGGCTCTTTTCAAAGATTCGGCTCTTTTGGCTCGGCTCCCTTACAAGAGCCGGCTCTTACGACTCCCAAATGGCTCTTCATTTAGTAGCTATCACTCGGACTTCTATTTGAGCCTAATTTAGCAATTGTAAATTATTTTTGAGTTGGTAAGCAATTTTTTAGTGTTGTAATAAAAGCCTTATTTTTATGCGTTTTTCCGTTACAAAAAATACACAGTTTATTTAACATTTCAATAAAACTTCAATATCAGATGCCTCAGCTTGGGTGGGCTGATGTGATTTCTCCTCTCTGTGATTATTTGTCATGTTTTTGAGAAGTCTCCAATATCATTGAATAGCGCTTTCATTTAAATCCGGCTCCCCCCTCTCTCTGTCGCTCTATGTACCCTGGCCTGTACCACTAAACTCGCTATTTTCGGAGCATATGTCCCCCTTCCT